GTAGCGGTGACCAGAACAACGGTGAAGGCAGGGTGGGCGGCGCACACTACCGCCCTACGTGGAGAAAGAAGATGAACAGTGACACAATCCTATGTGTTGGATGGAGATCTAACGGCCCAAAAATTCAACTGGCAACAAGTTTTTTCCTAGGTACCTTATGAATATGCGGTCCCAAGGAACAAACACGTACACTTTCTTGCTTGCATATTTAAGAGGAGCTCTTAAGAGGACTTGTTTCAAAAACTCGCGAGCCAACTAATCTTACTCAGCAAAAGAGATCTGTGCAAGATTTCATAGTTTTCTGAATTTCGAGAACATACATTACCAAAAGAAACAGATACATATGAACATATCTGTAAAATCGATGGAGAATAATTAGTTAATTCTACCAAGACAACACTTCCTACAATGATAAAGCAATTTATCATTACGACGATAAAGCAAAGCAAACACACGCCTTTTGCTTTCTCTAGCGTACACAGGAAACCAAGAAAAAAGCAGCAGCAGCAGGGCAATGGCAGATCTATCTCGACTATGAATTCAATCTGGTTTGTCTCGTTAGCAGCGAAAGCAAATCGCACAACTTTTCAAAGGGTTCTCTTTCTTTGTCTTTATAATCCGGTCCCAGGGGTGAGGTGCTGTTCGTTTCTTTTTCATTTTCTCTTTAATTATTACTTGCGTGTGAGGCGGCTGTGTACTTTTGAGAACGATTCTCTTCTCCAGATCAGTGACATTCCATAATGGAAAATGTAACAAGGCTCCTTGGTTCCGCATGAACCACATGACTTAATAATTTTTGTAGGGTGGACGGACGTTCCCTGCCTCCGGATCGACATCGCCCGGTTAGGACCAGCTGGTGGCTACTGAGCCCAGGTACAAACTGCTCGCCATTTACCCTACTAGTCAGTACGTAGTTACATTGATGCATATATATTATACTCTTGCGTGTGTTGTGTGCCTTGCATGATTGCTAGCTACATTTTGTGGTCTTCGTTTTCAGCTGGCTCTATGCCTCGAGAAACTTGCACAATTTTAGTTTCAGTTGTAAGTCGTAACAAAGGTCGATGATCGAGATTGACTCGAAACTCGCAGATCCAACAGCTATCCATCAAGCGATCACTTCAATAACCTGGTTCACCTAGCTAGTGGTGTTTTTATCTTTCTTCTGTGAGCTAAGCTATAGTGGTGTCTTCAGCCTGGGACGCTCTTGTCTCAGATTGCCTCGTCTTGATCTCCATGACTTAGAGACGGCCTTCTTGCGTCAGGATATCAAATTGGCCATCCAAGATCTATGCCGGGCAACAATCCTTCAAGGTGGCTTGAGGAGAAATCACCAACATCTCATGTGCTTCTGGCGTTTAAACAACTTCCTCCACAACGCGAACCGCTTGAGCATATGCATATGCTCTGTTTAATTCCTAACTCTTGCCATATCATCCTAATAATTCCTGGGCCGGAAAACACCAGTGAGTACCGTCAAGTCAGCATTAACCATTAAAAAATGCCAAGGTTTAACGCGAGCAATGCGCGCAGTTCTCGTAGCCGCTGGTGTGGTTGGATTGCAATGCTGCTCATGCTGGCTTCCTTTTGAGCTGCCTCAACGGCGAGGTCTCAAGCACGGGGACCCCTTCCTCTTTATTGTTGCCATCTAGCTAGCACCGTCACCGCTTCTTCGACCATGAAGGGCCTTTGTGCGGTCGCAAGGATCGCCTATTGGTCTCTCTGTATGCCGACCAAGTGGTTGTCTTCCTCAATGTCAGGGTGTTGCTGGAAAGGTTAGGCGACACCAGTGGGGAAGAGCTCGGTCATTGGAATCAGTTGTCAGCATGTCGATCTTGGGCACATCTCGGAGCCTTGCACGCTGTCATCACCTCTCTTCCATGCAAATATCTTGGAATGCCGCTCAGTTCCATGAGGTCGACTTCTAGCCTCTACCAGAAAAGATTGGCGGTTGACTCACCATGTGGAAGGGTAGGCTCATCTCCGCCGGTGGCTATCTCATTCTCTTGAAGGTTGTGCTAATTAAGCATCAGGCCTACCTACCTCATTACGGCGCATGAGCTGGCTGTCTGGCTCATATTCTCAGCATTGTAGGGGGGCGCTCTTGCCAAGGAGATCACCTCAAGGTTGCTTCGATAAGGATATGTCGGCCAGCTTGGTGACCTTAGCATGTCCGATTTGGTGAAATTCAGTCGTGCTCTGAGGCCCCACTAGCTCGCCATCAACTTCCTAGAAGAGATATAAGCATATCTCAAGTCTCTACTTTTGTCTTCTGGAGTACATATGTAGGGTCACATGTGGAATTTTTTTCTAAAAAGAATCATCAATTCCATACACTGTAGTCAACACATAAATCACCCATCACAAAAAGTAAAATAAAAAATCACCTAACTCGCTGAACTCTCAGTGGTGGATCACAACTGAAGAAACATGAACTTCAGTTTATTCACTCAAATCTTAAATTGTTTCCATGGCTAAATCGTAGGCATGAAGGAATACAATCTGAAAAGTAAAAATCGATTGAAGTTGAAATCCTACTCGCCGAGATGGTAGTGTCGAGGAGGTAGGAAGCACGAGTGGCCCGAGGCATTGCTGAGAAGGGGTCCTAGGGCTATGTTCGAATTTTGGCAAAAATCAAGTCTACCATTTATTTTGTCATGGTCAAACATTAATTTGATCTTTGTGTGGATGGTTGCAATTTTTTTTTGTGTGTGTCTATGTCCATTTGTTCTCTTTAGTTCATTTTGGGCAACCAAACCTTCACCAAATTTTGGATGAGTAAAATTTGGGGACCTTGTCAATGTGGAGGAGGATGGTCATCGCAGGTAGGAAGGGCAGTTCAGTGACCCTTACCTCCTGCTGCAAACCTAAACACCAACATCCCCAAGCTTTGGCTGGTACATCAGATTGCGGCTGTGCCATGGCTGGTGCAGGCCAAAACTGTTACCTCTTCATTTGAGCGTTAGATTGTGTGTGCAAAGCTAGGGGGGAAAGATAAACCACTCCACTTTTTCTACTACTACATTTGTTCAAAGCCCCTTTTCTTACGGTCTTTGATTGTGAATATCTTTTATGAATTGGCCTTGCAGGCTCCGGTTTCCCAATAGGAACGAACACAAGCGAGCTAGGAAAATGATGGGCATCCAGGACATCCGCGATATTGTGTCATCCCTGTTCATCATGCTGAATAAGGAGACATTCGTCCTGTTTCGGATCGAGTTTCTCGTGGTCCTGGTCACAGTGTTGTTTCTTGTGATGTTCATCATAGACGTCTTTCGCCGTCACATCCGCAACATATTCATGAAAACCATGTTTAGCATCCTGGATGCTATCTCGGACTCTATTGTCTTATACCTGTTGGGGGCCATGCAAACAGCCAAGTTCAAGAATCACCTGTTCCCGGTCTGGGCCCTCGTGCTTGTTAGTTTCCGTTACAATGTTGACTTCATCTCTGGCTATGGTGTTCATGACCGCCATGGGCGACGGTACATGGAGTGGAGAAACGTGGTGAAACTTCTGGGATCGGCCTTCTTGATCTTGTGGCGCGGCTCAAGGTTCACGGTTCCACTCTGGTCGCTTTTGGCCCTGCAGATACTGAGGAGCTGGTACAGATTCTGTGAGCATGGTCTGGCGCTCCGTTCTATCTGGCATGGCACAAGTTCAGAGGTCATTTCAGAGTATATGCGTGCTGGCCCTCACACTAGGAACTGGAAACCAGAGGACTGCAACCCAGAGAATATGGAAGGATACAAATACTTGGTCCTAGGAGAAACCAAACAGGGAATCAGACTCAAGAAGCCTCGGTATGTCTTGTACATCCATACTGCCCAGTCCGTCAAGCAAGCTGAGCGTGGTTTTTCATCACTGGTCACCCTAGACAAGATCTGGGGATGTCGCAGGAACCTATTACACCCAGACAACAAAGAGGGGAATGACCCAAAGGATCTCTGTCTGGCCTTCGCCTTGTCCAGGCTGCTCCGGTGCAGGCTCGAGGATGTGACACTGCAAGAAGAAATCTTTTGCATCAACCGGAAGCTGGTTAAGACCAAGATCATTGAGGAGCAAGACACCAACCGCGCCTTCAGGGTCATGGAGCTGCAACTCTCCTTCGTAAATGACTACTTCAACACCCACTACCCTATGGTCTTCTGGAGTGGTTACTTATCTCTATTTTCAAATCTGCTCCTCTCCGTGGTGACCTTCGGTGTTGTCTGCTGGCTTGCTGTGGACATCCGTAAGGTCTATAAGCCTCCGAAGGATGATCGGGCTCATGTGGTGCATGGGTTGAATGTTGACATGATCATCACCTGGGTATTCATGTTTTTTATGCTGTTCAAAGAGATCTGGGAGATGGTCAGCTACTTGGTCTCAGACTGGACAAGATTACTCCTTGTTTGCAGCTATGCACAGTGGAAGGAAGAGCACACCAGAGATAGACGTATGGAGGGCACAATATCATCCTTTTTCAAATCAAGGATAACTAGTAAGCACTGGCATGGACTTATTGACCAGTACGTCTTTTTGGAGTCATATGATGACATTCCAAGATGTTGGAATGTGATGCACCAAATAAGCACAGGAATGGTTCCAAAGAAGGGTGATGGAGCAAAACTCCGCAGCGCCATCAGTGTGCCAGAATGTATCAAGCCGGCAATACTGAAGAAGCTCCGTGCAAGCCTAGAGAAGCTCAACACTTCTAACAATCTACATCAGCCCGACAATACCAACAGAAATCAGGAGGAGCCCACCATTAGGAGTGGTATTCTTCTGCCCAAGGTCGTCAGGTCACTGTCCCAAAGGAAGCAGTACAATTGGGCCTGCTTCGACCTGCCCACATGCTCTCACGTAATTCTGGTGTGGCACATTGCAACCAGCCTCTGTGAGATTAAATTTGCTAGAGACCATGGCGTCGACTTAAGCAAACATGGGTTCCTGAGCTCCCTCTCATCGTACTTCACGGGTTGCTGCTCATCGAAACCATATCTTGTGGATGTGGATGTGGATGAGATGACAAAAGAAAAGAAAGTTAATGGGAAGTTGCCCGATAAGCTCAAGGAAATGTATGTCACTGCAAATAGCTTGTCTCGGTACTGTGCATATCTGCTAGTTTCTAAGCCTGACCTGATCCCTGACAGCTTTTATGTACCCAACATGGTCTTACAAGAAACCGTGACACGCGCTCGTGATGATATTCTTAAAAAATGTGACTCATTGCAGAGTAGATATGACAAACTGATGGAAGTAGCAGAGAAGGCCATCCAAGATGGTGACGACATCTTGAAGGAAGATGTTGTGCGACTAGGTGCAAAGCTGGGCAAGGAACTGATTGATCAAGAGAGTAAAGAAGAATGCTGGGAGATCCTCTCCGAGGTATGGGCGGAGTTACTAGTGCACATTGCCCCCACTTGGAACGCAGAGGCGCACAAGCAGTGCCTCGAGTCAGGAGGGGAATTCATAACCTATATCTGGGCATTGCTATGGCACTGTGGAATCGAGAAGAGCAAATTATGGCCAGTAGAAGATGTGTATGGAAATGATGTTGAAAATATGTCCTAGAGGCAATAATATTGTATTATTTATTTTCACGTTTATAATTAAGAGTTTATATTCTATGCTATAACTATTATGATCCTGGAATATATGATTCAGTGGAAAATTCATAAGCATGTGTGGAATGATAAATGGTAAAATCTGATTCCTAGTCTCGCCTTTAAGACTAGCTAAAGTGTTATATGTTCATCATGTTTTCCGGATCTTACGATATCGTTAGTTGTTACGATAGTCCCAAAACAACATTGAGAATATGACGTTAGAAGAACGATCATATTGAATTGACCCAACTTGTTTCGTTATACTTTGAGATACAAATCATCACAAGTCAATCAATATAACACGGAGAGTTAACATATGCTTTAGTTTCTTAGACCATGAGAGTATCGTAGTCACTTCTTACCGGACGATGGACTTTGGGGTTGCTCAGACGTCATTTGTAACACAGTGATCGTAACAACAAGTTACATGTTCATTGAAAAGTTTGACAAGGGGCTAGATAGCTCAAGAGTGGGACTTGCTCCTCTGACGATGGAGATATATTTTTAGGGCCCTCTCGGTGTGAAAGCATCCATCATCATCTGGCCAAACACAGGTGACAAGGTCACAGGGATGCCGGAACATGTCAACGAGAAAGAAGAATAAAATCGGTAACGAGGAGACCGATACAGTGAGCATGAGAATGACTCAACAGGATACCGATACATCTTACCTCGGGTTTTGTGAAGTATCGCGAAGCAAAGGGAGTAGCACATGATAACCAAAGATTCACTCGAATGTCATTCGTGTATTCATAGGGATCAATATGGATGTCCATGGTTCCACTATTGGTCATTGAACGAAAGGAGTTTTTGTTCATGTCTATGTTTTACCGAACCTACAGGGTCACAAGTTTAAGGGAATCACAATTTGTTGAGTGTTGGTGGAGTAAGAGTTATGAGAATATATTCACGAAATAGTTTCATGAATATTTGAAATAGTTTTGAGAGAAACCGAAAGCGTTTCAGGGTTACTGGAAGAGTTTCGAGTAGTACCCGGAAATGAAATATAGGCGGAAATTGTTTTCGGGGACCTAACATAAATAATAGAGGAGTTAGATAATGATCTAGGAGTCCCCATAATTTATTTAGAGTCAATGGGCTAAAGAAAATATCAATTGGCCTATTAGTAGAGAGATAATGGGCCTTGAAGACCCATGTAGGGATGGCACACCCTTTTAGCTTATTGGACAAGCTAAGAGGGCGCAGGTGAGTTGGAGGAGGATGTTGGTAAACGTATTAGACAACAAAAAAAGTTGCGCCTACGCAGACCCAAGATTAATATGAAGATGCATAATAGGTTGGGATCACGATCTTTACCGTCACCGAGTTGCAACTGAAGAAGAACGTGTCGAATAGATTGTACTTGAAGTCCCTCGAACCGTCGATAAACGATCCTGTGAACCGCCCACGAATAGTCCCTCGAACCGAAAAACGAAAGCACGACCTCTCTACTTGGTTGCAAGCGTACAACGCATCACTTCGCCGTCTAGAGCTAATCGTTGCCGGAGAATTAGAGGAGGAGATTAGAACCACACTGGGCTTCTAATTATAAGTATTAGAGGAACTATACCTAGCTCTAATTAGTTAACTGGGACCAACTAGAACTAAAAGAACTAGAGGAGGCTCCAAAACTTGTATGTTCAAAGGGTGAAAATCCTCTAGTATATATAGGAGGCTCCAAAACTTATATGTTCAAAGGGTGAAAAGTCCTCTAATATATATAGGTTGGAGGGGAGTGGAGGGGCGCCACAAGGGGAGGAGAGTCCCTCCACCTTGGCCGGCCCAGAGGAGGAGTCCCGCTCCAATTCGGCCTCTCTTCCCTTCCCAAGTGGGAAAAGGGGCTCCACCCCCGCTTGGATCTTGGTGGCCCAAGTTGCCTTCCACCACTAGGCATTTTAAGTTCTGTTGATATTTAGTTAAATATAAAAGCACTTTAAAAATCATCAGATCCTTTTATATATAAATTAACAGCCCCGAAACATTTTCCACCTATATATTATTTATCGGCAATACCCGGTATTTACCCGATACTTTTTGAAACCCTTCCGGTGACCCCGAAACGCTTTCGGATCCTCTCGAAACTATTTCGAATATTAATGAAACAATTTGATAAACATGTTCTCATCACTCCCGTCCTACTAACACTTAGCAGATCGTGATTGCCTTAAGCTTGTGACCCGTAGGTTCGGTAACTCATAGACATGAACGGACCATTCGTTCAATGACCGATAACGGAACTATGGACGTCCATATCGACTCCTATGAGCACACGAATGATATTCGAGTAACCTTTGGTTATCATGTGATGTTCCCTTTGCTTCATGATATTTCACAAAACCTGAGATGCATCGGTATCCTCCTGAGTCATCACATGCTCACTATACCGTGATCCTCGTAACTAGTTTTGTTCTTCTTTCTCGTTGTCGTGTTCCGGCGTCCCCGTGACATAGTCACCTGTGTCTGGCCAGATGATGATGAATGTCGTCACACTGAGAGGGCCCTAAGAATATCTCTCCATCGTTGGAGGAGCAAATCCCACTCTTGAGCTATCTAGTCCCTTGTCAAACATTCTGATGAGCCTCTAAGTTGTCGTTATAATTGTTGGGGAACGTAGCATCATTCTAAAATTTTCTACGCATCACCAAGATCAATCTATGGAGTCATCTAGCAACGAGGGATAGGGGAGTGCATCTACATACCCTTGTAGCTCGCGAGCGGAAGCGTTCAAGAGAACGGGGTTGATGGAGTCGTACTCGTCGTGATCCAAATCACCGATGACCTAGCGCCGAACGGACGGCACCTCCGCGTTCAACACACGTACGGTTAGGAAGACGTCTCCTCCAACTTGATCCAGCAAGGGGGAAGGAGAGGTTGATGGAGATCCAGCAGCATGACGGCATGGTGGTGGAAACCGCGGTGATCTCGGCAGGGCTTCGCCAAGCTTAGCGAGAGGGAGAGGTGTCACGGGAGGGAGAGGGAGGCGCCAGGGGCTAGGGTGTGGCTGCCCTCCCTCCCCCCACTATATATAGGACCCCTAGGGGGGGCGACCCTAGGAGATGGGATCTCCAGGGGGGGGGCAAGGGGGTGGCTTGCCCCCAAAGCCAAGTGGGGCGCCCCCCACCCCTAGGGTTTCCAACCCTAGGCGCAGGGGGAGGCCCATGGTGGGCGCACCAGCCCACCAGGGGCTAGTTCCCCTCCCACTTCAGACCATGGGGCCCTCCGGGATAGGTGGCCCCACCCGGTGGACCCCCGGGACCCTTCCGGTGGTCCCGGTACAATACCGATTACCCCCGAAACTTTTCCGATGGCCGAAACTTGACTTCCTATATATAAATCTTCACCTCCGGACCATTCCAGAACTCCTCGTGACATCCGGGATCTCATCCAGGACTCCGAAAAACTTTCGGGTTACCGTATACTAATATCTCAACAACCCTAGCGTCACCGAACCTTAAGTGTGTAGACCCTACGGGTTCGGGAGTCACGCAGACATGACCGAGATGACTCTCCGGTCAATAACCAATAGCGGGGTCTGGAACCCATGTTGGCTCCCACATGCTCCTCGATGATCTCATCGGATGAACCATGATGTCAAGTATTCAATCAATCCCGTATACAATTCCCTTTGTCAATCGGTACGTTACTTGCCCGAGACTCGATCGTCGGTATCCCAATACCTCGTTCAATCTCGTTACCGGCAAGTCACTTTACTCGTACCGTAATGCATGATCCCGTGATCAACCACTTGGTCACATTGAGCTCATTATGATGATGCATTACCGAGTGGGCCCAGAGATACCTCTCCGTCATACGGAGTGACAAATCCCAGTCTCGATTCGTGCCAACCCAACAGACACTTTCGGAGATACCCGTAGTGCACCTTTATAGTCACCCAGTTACGTTGTGACGTTTGGCACACCCAAAGCACTCCTACGGTATCCGGGAGTTGCACAATCTCATGGTCTAAGGAAATGATACTTGACATTCGGAAAAACTATAGCAAATGAACTACACGATCTTTGAGCTATGCTTAGGATTGGGTCTTGTCCATCACATCATTCTCCTAATGATGTGATCCCGTTATCAATGACATCTAATGTCCATAGTCAGGAAACCATGACTATCTTTTGATCAATCAGCTAGTCAACTAGAGGCTCACTAGGGACGTGTTGTGGTCTATGTATTCACACATGTATTACGATTTTCGGATAACACAATTATAGCATGAACAATAGACAATTATCATGAACAAGGAAATATAATAATAACCATTTTATTATTGCCTCTAGGGCATATTTCCAACAGTCTCCCACTTGCACTAGAGTCAATAGTCTAGTTACATTGTGATGAATTGAACACCCATAGAGTTCTGGTGTTGATCATGTTTTGCTCTAGGGAGAGGTTTAGTCAACGGATCTGCTACATTCAGGTCCGTATGTACTTTACAAATATCTATGTCTCCATTTTGAACACTTTCACGAATGGAATTGAAGCGACGCTTGATATGCCTGGTCTTCCTGTGAAACCTGGGCTCCTTGGTAAGGGCAATAGCTCCACTGTTGTCACAGAAGAGAGTCATCGGGCCCGATGCATTGAGAATGACTCCTAGGTCGGTAATGAACCCCTTCACCCAGATTGCTTCTTGTGCTGCCTTCGAGGCTGCCATGTACTCCGCTTCACATGTAGATCCCGTCACAACGCTTTGCTTGCAACTACACCAGCTTACTGCCCCACCATTCAAAATATACACGTATCCGGTTTGTGACTTAGAGTCATTCAGATCTGTGTCAAAGCTAGCATCGACGTAACCCTTTACGACGAGCTCTTCGTCACCTCCATAAACGAGAAACATATCCTTAGTCCTCTTCAGGTACTTCAGGATATTCTTGACCGCTGTCCAGTGTTCCATGCCGGGATTACTTTGGTACCTTCCTACCAAACTTACGGCAAGGTTTACATCAGGTT